CATTTAAAGGGAAAGCATGTCAAAAACAGGAGTTAGTAAACACAACACATGGATCAATGTTGTTATTGATATTGCAGAGGGGGAGGCAGAGCAGCTCATAGATTACAGAGTGCATCTGCGGCCGCGGCAGGAGAGCCGGTCGGGATTACACTTGTGTAATTGGGGCATTATTTGAATGGCCGGGATTAAAGCTTGTGTTTCACTCTGATAGTAAGACTTCTCCAGGCCACAATGTAGGTTAAATGAGGAGAAAACAGAAGAGGAATTTAGGCTAAAGCTAACTTTAGATGCCTTTTCTCGTTACTGGAGCTTTGTCGAAGCTGGGTGTGCTGTAGTTCACGTTCAGAGGCGAACAGAAGTTTCAATTCTACTCTTAGTTAGGTGTTGTGCTTTGATTTTTGAAAACAGGATAAGTTTGAATTTGATAAAAAAGATCTGGCAACTAAGGCAAGGAGTGCGTGGGTAGCTGCCTGTGTGGCAGTTATTTTTGCAGGGATTTAATAAAACATTTTAGCGTGTGCCTACACAGCTGTTAAATGACAGTACATCATTCTGAGTGCTGTCACAACCTTAATGGACATCATGCCTCCAGCTGAAGCATTATTGAGCCAACCTACAACTCTCATCTCATCAGATATCAGTATTGTGATTAGTTTATCTTTCTTCAGCTTGACCACATGTGGGTCGTAGGTCGTAAACGTTGTTGTTGTTGACATTACTGAGTTTCTTTGAGTTGGATTCGCTTTTATTCTTCCAGTCAGTCTTTTTTTATTTTTTGGTGTAAGTTTACCGCAGTCTAAGCTGGGGTTTTTTTTTTTTTAAATTTATTTGTAACTGGATTTCTTGAGTCATCTGAATGACTCACAAGAACCTGCCAACATTTTTTTAGTTCTACTTTCACTGCTTTGCTGTAGCTCTGTCTCAACACCAGGGGGCCACAGGGAGCACGTTTGGAGCCAGTTGCAGGTCATAAACATACAGTCAGAGCTTGAAGCATATTTTAAATGCACCAAGAAAATGTTTGTCACTTTTTTTAGTGTCTTCTTAGGACTGTTTTCTATTTTCCTTGGAAAGCAGAAATGTGTCCCATGTTCAGACAGTGCTTACGTTTTTTTTTTTCCCCTTCTTTTTCTTATTTTGTGCTTCTGCCTGAGACATTATTAGTTCTAAATAGGAGAGAAGCCACGTGTGCGTGCAGGAGCAGCCTCTTATTTATAGACACTTTAAAAACGGGGTTATTTTTAGCGATGATGAAACTGAGGTCGCACTGCAGCTCCTACTGACAGGTTGCTTGCGTGGCATTAAATGAACTCTCAGTTTAAAAGCAAAGCAGACAGTATGCTGATTTGCACTTTCAGTGTCATAATTCACCCTTGTACTCCTCATCTTTGTCTGCAGCCATGCTGTTTGCTGCAGTGTGAGTTGTTCTTATGTGGGAAAAAAATGTTTGTTGTAGACTAATGTTGCACATAAAGTACATGAAAATATTAAGTGCTATCTACAGGAGTAAATGTATGTCTAAATAATCATATATACTGTATAGATTGATGACAGGAGAAACAAAGGCCTATTTTTTTTACAACTTTTGTTTCAATATGTTTATTTTGTTTCTAGTTCTTTGTATAATGTATAATGCTGCTCACAATGCTTCTGTGTCACGTTAGATGGAAAACCATGAAGACAAAAATAAAGATATTTACTGTTGTTTTTTGTGTCTAATTCACATTATTTTCCTCTAAAGTGCATTAAAATGACATGTATGTTTCAAATATGTTGCCAAGGAAGGGATAATGAAAATGTTAATGAGTTGCATGTTATGAAATTGTGTTTTTGGAGATTAACTCGTTAAAACTAGTTAATGTGCTAACTAGTCATCTGCTAAAAAGGAAGCTATTTGCCCTGCGATGCTAATTGTCTTAAAATAAAATGAGCTAGGACAACAAAGTAAATGCTCTTTGGCAACAAACATATATTACACATAGATGAGCTCCATCTTCAATTCACTTTTCTTTTTAGATCACTGCTTCCTAAGACTTTACAATATCAGAGAACACCAGCTACCCGATGATCCACCTTTGTATACTACTCCCTCCCCTTATGTAGTAATTGCATAAAAATATATTGGGAGTGATAGATAAGTGCAAAGGATAAGCTTTATCTATGTGCAGCTGCATAACTAAGGGACAACACTGGGTCACATGATCCACTCCTCTATCATCATTGTCATAAAAAAAACTTTTCCACCTTACCTCCGAGGTAGACAAAGTCTTGTGGTCTTTGACCCAAACTGGAAGATATTTCCTACATGGACAGGATCCTGAAAGCTCTGCCTCCCATTATATTTCTAGAGACTCTAGCAAACACAAGTAAGCCAGCAGACTGATAGAAAACATCTCCACACTTACCACGGAGTACTAGATGTCATTTATACTAAAAACAGCCTCCAAACACCAGGAGAAATAGCCCTGCGAGTCACAGTCAGGGATTTATTAGAAGAGCTGAGATAACATAAGCACTTTTTTCTATAGAGACTATATATTTAAGGTTTATCAAGACACTGACTCAGAATATACATTCAACAGCCACTTCATTAGGTACACCTGTTCAACTGCCTATTAACGCAAATATCTAATCAGCCAATCAGATGGTAGTAATTCATGATCAAGATGACCTGCTGAAGTTCAAACTGAGAACCAGGATGGAGAAGAAAGGCGATTTAAGTGACCTTAAATGTTGCATGTTTGTTGGTGCCAGATGGGCAGGTCTGAGTATTTTAGAAACTGCTGATCTGCTGGGATTTCCCCACACAGTCACCTCTAGGGTTTATAGAAAATGGTCTAAAAAGAGAAAGTACTCAGTGAGCAGCACTTCTCTGGACAAGGGCTCTTTGGTAACAGAGGTCAGAGAATGGCCAGACTCTGTTGAGCTGATAGGAAGACAACTGTAGTTCAAACAATCACTTGTTACATGGCAAGGCATGCAGAAGAGCATCTCTGAAAGTAAAATGCAAACCAGATGGGCTACAGCAGCAGAAGACCACATCAGGTAAACAACATGAAAGCATGGATTCATCCCACCTTGTATCAGTGGTTCACTCACAGTGTACCCATCTTCTGATGACTGCTTCCAGCATGATAATGCACAGTATCACAAAGCTTAAATCATCTGAAACTGATTTTTTAACTTGACAAGTACTCAAATAACCTCCAGTCACCAGATATCAATCCAATAGAGGATAGGATCTCTGGGATGTGATGGAACAGGATGGACGTGCAGTCAAAAACAGACTGTAGCAACTGTGTGATGCTGTTGTGTCAATATGGACCAAAATCTGCAAGGAATGTTTCCAGGACCTTTTTGAATCCGTCATGAAGAATGAAAGCAGATCTGAAGGCAAAAGGGAGTCCAACCTGGTAGTAGTAAAGTACACCTAATGATTTGTCCTATAAGAGTAAATTGCTATAAATACATCAAAAACTGGAGGCTAAGTTCATTTCCCCACGGTTCTGCTAACCACTCACACATGTAACTCGACTTTATCTTTGCATCCAGACCAATAAGTTGTGCAACACATCCTGCAGATCCGCTTCCTCTCATGGACCGCACACGTTCCAAAAAAACGAAACAACCGAGACCACAGTTTTATGTACAATATGTACAACATTTATTATAATTAATATATAAAATAGACAATGTACTTAAATTTTCACAATAGAAAAAATACAAGTAATAAATAGAAAGACCATTTCTGTTTTGCAGGTATTATAAAACATCCAGCAGGGTTTGACAGATGTGAGACGTTAAAATATAGAGAATAAATGCTTTGCCACACTAATACTCATATATAGCTAAATATATGCCTCATATCTTTAGGAGTTATTTGTCAACACAGTTTCATGTGTTACCATGCCTACTTAATATATTATATTGCTAGCACTATTCAGTGGCCTAAACTCCCATGAAATTTAAGCCTGCTGAGTGAAACAGGCCTACGTCAGACGGAGGCTTTTCAAGTGAATAAAACACCACCTCTATGCACCTTCTTTTCCAGTCTGCTGTGCCTACTTTCTTTCTCCATCATCCGTCTTCTTCTCAACCCTCCACTCTCACCCTCGTCTCCATCAGTCTCCTCTCTCTCTTTAACCTCCTGTCTCTGTCTGCCCCGCCCATTCAGAAATGACCTCAATTTTTTTTCTCCGCACAAACAACATACGATTCATCTTAAAAAAATAATATCCCTCCAAGATATCCACGACGACGAGCTAGTACAAACATTGCAAAAATATACGTAAAACACACACATATACACGCACGCACGCGCACACACACACAAATCGTCATACATCAATATGGCCATTGGCTTTGAGCATATTTCTACACAGCTAATAATCAAACGTTTTGTAAAGTAATCATCGTCGCCACGCAGCACAATAATTAGACGTGAGAATATCCTCAGACTAGTCATAAGTACTTTTTGAAAACATACAGAACATCACAGCACTCGTTAGCTTGTCTTGTCATAATATCTACTTTTAAATACAAATAAAATTTAGAATATATAAATGTCACTGAACATTTGCGTCTCTCAGACATTACAAACAACACAACAACGGGAATGTTTGCAGAGGATTTGCATCGACTTGAGCGTAATTCCTACCAGACGTGATTCTATTTCCACACATTCGTTTATTCAATTATTTAAAATGACCAACATCTTTCGTCAGAAAGAAGAAGCCACTGACGTTGGACTTGGCCAAACTGCTCCACGGCAGTTTTTATGAAACGAGAAATTTGGGATTAAAGCTTAGAAAAAGACGGAAATCCACAGAAATCACAATGAGAAATAAGAAGTGAGTCGTTTCAGACAATCAGGAGGACTGGTGAGCTCCTTCATACACTGAAGGCACTGCATTAATGTGAAAAATGAGCACACATATAATACAGAATTGTCTTTTTGGACTGGTGAGACCC